GAAGTGGTGGCAAACGGGTCTCTCGCGGAGGTGACCGCAGCTGCGGATCCGGTCGAGACCCAGAAGAAGTGGTCGACCCCTCGGCCTGGCCCCCGGCCGACCCAGAAATAGTCCCCGTCTTCTTTTTTAGGGGAGTTTTCCTCGGAGGGATGTTGAAACTGGACACCTCTACAAGAAAACCACAACATAGATTATATCCGATAATCAGCAAAAATTACGCAGAACAAAACAGAGAAACACATAAGCACTCGACTAATCTGCCCGAGGATTACCTGGATCATCTTCAAGCCGAATGAGATCGAGGATGTCGTCGGTGGGAGGACGACAGGTCTTGTGGGTAAGAAGACCACAGTAATGAAGAAGATTCTCGTCCTTGAGAAGAGTTTCGGACGCAACAGATTTGGAATTCTAAGTGTGGATCCGTTGGTCGAAAAGGGCGCTGGGAGGAGGAGCTGAGGCCGTCTCTTGGGAAACTTCTTTGATCGAAGGAATGGAGGGCCAAGGAAAAGGGGCAGTAGGCCGGACAAAAATGAATTTATCACTCAACTTAGGGAGGTTGGAAGGAATGTCATTGATGAAGTGGGCGCCATTGCGGCTCTTAAGGTAGAGGCCTCGACCTTGTTTGGAAGGGGCATAGCAATAATGAAAGAAAGCTAGGTCGAATTGGCCTAGGCGGACGCGACAAAGGATGATAAAAGTGGTCATAAAGCGAATGACGTTGGGGGGAAGTTGATGCAAAGGAAGCGAGAACCACTCGCAAATGAGAAGTAGCTCAGGATTCAAGGGAAAATAGAGGCCAAGTTTAAATTAAATCTCGAAGAAAGTATATAACAATCTTGGGGTGGACGATCATATTTGTCAGAAGCAGAAGAACTGAGAAACGACCAACCGCTGGGATGGTCGATCTTCTCAGGAGAATACCAAACATGGGAAAGAGAAGGGCTCTTAGTGGAAGTTTTGCGAGGGTTTTTGGTCGAGGTTTTGTTGGAAGCACCAGGCTGAGCAGAAGAAGGAAGAACCTCGTCCATCTCCGGATCATCTAACTCACCAAGGGTAGGTCGACGACGGCGGAGAGGAATGTTGTCCATGGTATCCCCTGAGTTGGAAGAAGTGACACGGGCAGTAAAAACGATGGTAGGAACAGTATCACCGGGGCGGAGGATAGAGAGAGGATCGGCTTCAAGAGCAGAGGGCAATATCTCAACCGAATCAGAGGAAGTGGTCGAGGTAGCGGGATCTGAAAACAAAAAATAAAGGAACAATATCAAAAATGGGGAATTTTGACAAAAAATGAAAGGGGAAAGAGGAGAAGGTTTTCAAAATTAGGGTTTTGCAAAAAGGGTGATTTTGGAAAAATTGAAGAAAGAGAACAGGGATTCCGTAAGAATTTCAAAGAGAGAGGACGAAATCTACAATGATCAACGGGCGGGCACAGACATTCAACACACACATTCGAAACATTCAATCAGCAAACTTCAGACACCCAAATCGAAAAAAAAAATAACAATAACACAGAGAAGAAAATTCAAAACGTACAATCTCAAGTATAGGAAGAGTGAAATCAGGCGAGGAACAACTTACTCATAATCGCAGATGGGAGAATTGATAAGGCTCGAAGATCGCAGGGAAATCGCCGAGGAAGATAGGGTTTTTGTAGAAAATATTTTGGGCGTAGGAGAATTTGAAATTGCAAAGGTGGAAAAAGTCTGAAAATTCGCTAAGTGTGGAATTTATACCTGGGGGAGTCTAAGGGTTGAAAAGGTGAGGACCGTTGGATTAAAATCAGATCGTACGGTGGACAACATTAATTAGCACAACACTCAAAGTGGGCGCGTTATGCGAGGAGGCGTTATCATTAAAACACCAGACAAGTACCTGACAAGCGGGACACGTGGCAAAAAGGAAGGTATCACAAAAAGGACGTGTGGCAGAAGACTTTATCTCTGGCAATTAATGAGGCATTATTCGAAAATTAAGCGGGAAACCCATCAGAGGGTCGATATCTGACAACACACCACCCAGGAGGTCGATGAAGTACAAATTTACTCTCAGATCGAGTCATTCAAACTCGACCAGAGTGGGGGAGACTAGATGATATAGGATATTATACCCACAAGGCTAAACCGGTCTATTGACCGGTCGAGGAGGTCGTATTATGAGGAAGTCAAGGAAATTGAGCAGTTAACCAGTCGACCAGCAAAGCTGACGACCAAACCATCCTTCGACCAGATGAACGATCGAGCAGTTCAGTCGGCCTCGATAGGTCGACCACTCCGAGGACTTAACACCACGACGATCGGCCTAGTCACAGGCGCGTGAGAGAGCCTCTAACTGAATTCCAGGAGAATATTTATCCCATGTGCAGGGGGGACACGTGTCGAGAGGGCAGTGGTTGATAGTAATAACCACCTCTGACAGCTTATCCCATGTGCAGGAGGACACTCGTCCAAAGGGTATTGGTGCAAGAGATAGTGGCGACGGCTACCTCTGACACACGCGTATGGTGTGTACGGACGGGCAGTTAGGGCAGACAGCTCATCAAATCCGGGCAGCCCTAGGTCAGGTATCTCACCCCTATATAAAGGAGGTGAGCCTTTCTTCTTCAACACGATCATTCTATTATTTAATCTTGAGAATTGATTGAATATACATTGACTTAAGCTTCGGAGGCTCTTCACCGGAAAACCCCTCCGGTGTGAGAGTTCTTTGTAGGTGCACGACGTTCAACCGGTGAGAAGGAAGGCGATTATTCAAGTTCCAGCCGGTCGGGAAGTTTTGTGTTACCAGTGTGTTAAATAATATATATTCTTATTAAAAATAATATAAATTAAAATATTAATTATATATAATATACGACTAATAATTTTTAATTTATAATTAATATATATATAATATAATTAATATATATAATATAATTATATATAATATAATTATATATAATATA